GGGGGGGAGGGGCTGTGCTACCTGCGCAGAGAATGACACCTGGCGGTTGTCTTTCGACTTTTTCTTGGTGACCTTTGCTTTCTTTTCTTCCTTCCCAGGTGCTTTAGAGACTGGTGCCACCTTGGTGTGCTTCTGAGAGGGCAGAGAGAGGAGCTGTGACCCCGGCCACGGGCAGACCACCCTCCGCCCCACAGAGGGAAGCTCCTTGGTGAGCAGGTCGCCCCTCCCTCCCCCCAGACTTCTAGCTCCCATCTGGCACTCCTGTCCCCTCCCTGTCCCTCAGACCTTCTCCAGCACTGCTCCCCTCGCCTCGACTACGCCTTTGAAGTGCATTCACCAAGGAAGATAGATGACCCCTGTCTCTGCGGGAGGGCAGAGCCCAGCCACGTAAGGACAATCAGGGACCACAGAGGCCTGATGGGGAGCCCCGCCCCCCTGTCTTTTCTGCTCGTTCACCCTGGTGCTGAAAGCCCTGCTCCCTTCCCCTCTGGAGGGGCCCAGCTCCCGGCGCAGCTGCGGCCGATGCAGCCTCGCGCACACCTGCAGCGCCTGCTGCTTGCCCCGCCTCCGCTCCAGCCACTCCATCACCCGCGTGAGGTCCGACATGCGCCTCTCCTCTGCTGTCCTCCACATGGACTTCCTCTCCGTGGGCATTAAATCCTTCGGGTCCTCTGGTTTCTCCGACATCATGGAGCCTGGTGGTGCCGTGGGTAAGGAGGTGGCACGCTCTCACTCCCCCAATCCCTCTGTCACCAGCTGCTGGCCTGGGTGACTCGCATGGCAGGGTGTGGCCTCTAGGTGTGAACAGAAAGGGCAGCTGGGATATTGGCTTGAAAGGGTGGGAGGTCTGGAGGGGGATTGTGAGGTCACTCTCAGCAGTCAAATATTTACTCTATGAAGCCACAATGATAAGTGAAAATGAGTGCACCAAAGGGAAGGAATATAATTCAGCAAAACCTTGTGACAGAAGAACTAGACTAGATGAGGTGCTGGGTGGGTCACACCTGAGCTTGTAGCTAAAGAGCAAATAGGCCTCGAGAGGGCTCTGGACCAGCTGGGTGAGCATGTGCAAAGGCCCTGGGGCAGGATGGACACATGCACACTTGAGGAACGACAGGCCAGGGTGGTTAGTGAGAAACGATGCTGGAGGGGTGGGCAGAGGGCAGATCAGACAGGACCTTGGAGCTCACGCGTTGGCTTAAACTGGGAAGGAAAGGGAAGCACAGAAAACAATAAAGGGATTCGAATGGTGAGGAGGGAGCGGCGCGGTCAGCGTTTTCTTTCCTGACTTTGACCGAGGGAAAGCATGTATGCAGAAACGTACCAGATCACAAATGAAGGTTTCTGTGTAACCAGTACCCAGAGGTACCCCTGCGGCCCTGCCGGTCACTACCTCCCTCCAGGGGAAACAGCACCCACATAAATAGATTCATACACAGAGTTGTTCTCTATCTGGTTTTATCCGTTTTACAATATACTTACAGGATTTTAGCAATAAATTCTTTCAGTCTTTGTGTTTGTGGAAATGTCTTTATTTCTCCTTAATTTTGAAGGAAGACTTGCTGGGTAATAGAATCCTTGGTCCACAGTTTTTCAGCACTTTGTACTTGGCCTTCTGCCTTCCGCTTTTTAACATGGAAAGCCAGCTGTGAACCCTGTCGCTGTGAACAGCTTTCTCCCCCCTGCCTTTAGCAAATATTGTGGTAGGACCTAGGCAGTCAAGAGGCTGCCCCACTGCAAAGACACGGAGGTGTCCAGGGTCAGAGCTGGAAATGCTCTCTGAGGCCCCTGTGCTCACTCATGCCACAGATGGGGAGGAAACCAAAGCCCAGAGAGCCCGAGAGGCCTGCCCAAGGCCAGTGCAAAATAGCAGGGGACCCAGAAACTCCATTCATAGTGATGAGGCCTGGAATCTCATACTTCCCCCAAAGACTGCCTCTATCTATTGCATTAAACCAGGGGTCTCAAGTTCAAGTGGGAAGGCAGGTCACACAGAGCCGGGAGCTGCCTGAGTATGGCAGTGGGTGGTGTGGGGTGCAGGGAGCTGGTCTCAGAGCTCAGCCTTAGCCGAGTGCAGCTATGTGCAGACGTCAGTGAAGGTGGCCCTGTGTGGCCGAACTTCTGATACTTTTAAGAGAAGACAGAAATCCTGATGTTTATGTGAAATCAGTTGGAGACAAAATTTAAAAAGAAACACTGATTGGACAAAGCCCACGTGGCCTTGTGTAGGCCCAGGGATGCCCATTGGTAGCCTCTGACTCAGTGGACCCTCTTCCAGCTGGGAGTCCCTGAAGCCAATGGCAGAAGATAAACTGAGGCAGAGAGACTGGGAGCGGCTTGCTCAAGTTCACTCAGCTGAGACTAAGCACAGCCAGGACTGGAACCCGGATCTCCTGACCCCCAGCCCATGACAGTGCTGTGGGGCTCTGAGAGAGAAGACTGAGAAACAGGGCTCGAGCAGTAGCCACCCTGAAAGCTCGAGAAAGTCACAAATATCGACAAAGGTTTGAATGTACCTCTAACCAACCGGGCTCAGGCTCGGGAGACACCTGTGGGGAATCCACGGGGATTTTTCACATGGCTCTGCGTGGTTCCTGTGGAGATGGGTTCCCTGTCTCTTCTGTTCTGTCTTCCTTTCTGGTCTTTTAATACTCAGTATCACTGCAATTCTCAAGGGCCATTTAAAAAATATATAATCTTATTAGCGAGAACAGCTTCCCTGTGGCTGGCCCACGTTCCACAGAGCAGCCACCGTCCCGGTCCCGGCAGGCGTCGGGCAGCGGCTCTGCCTCTCAGCACCGCATCCGCCCTAGTTTTCCAGGGCACTCCTAGCAAATGTCTCAATTAGGCCACGGGATGGATGTACTGGGGATGGGCTGAGATTTACATATTCAGAACCGCAATCTCCTTTGCCCAGCAATGTCTTTCCTTCGATCTGCGGCCCCAGGGAGCCTCTGGCTTCCTTCCCAGCCTCGGGCTGGGGGCTGTGAGGGCCACGTCAAACCCAGATGAGGCTCTGCTTCCTTGGCTGTGGCCTCCTGACCTTGGGCTTGCTCTGCCTTTCAGTCTTGCGTTTCAGCTTGCCTGTGAACAGGACCCAATCAGGGGTTGCAAACCCTGGGTAAGTGATATTTGGCCCACAGACATATTTCATTCAGCCTGCAAAGTGTTTTAGAAATTAGGGCAATTCATTAAAAAAAATTAAGAGCTCAGATTTATTTAGTAAACAGACGATCTGGTGTGGCTGGGCTGGGCCTACCCCCTGAGATGAGTCCTGCATGCTGTCTGCTGCCTCAGGCCCTGCCTGGCCCTTCCACCTACCTTGTCTGTGACACTGGACTAGGCAATAATTCTAATCACTTTCAAGGTACAAAGACAAGGTTATCTCCTCTCTTTGAGCTGGAGAAGTAGAGATTCTCACCCCATTTCACAGGCTTGGAGCCCAAGGATCAAATCACCCAGGCCCCAGCTGTCTGGTCCCTGTGCAGTAGAGCTGGACTCACACTTGCCTGACTCAAGCCCACCTCTCCCAGGCTGAGGTGGGTCCTTCCAGCTCTTTCTGTAATTAAAGCCCTGACACATCACCACTCTGCCAGTGGGAGAGAGGCTGAAGAGTGCAAAACAATGGAAAGTTCTCCGATACTCTGTTCTTGCACTGCCCCCCGGGGTGGCTACAAGGAAGCAGGAGACCTGTGTGATGTAGGAGTTAGAGAGGCTGGACAGGGCAGTGGGCAGGGCACAGTGCTGGGTGTCGAGGCTCTGGGTCTACTCCCTTCTCTGTGGCCTCCTGATCACATGACCACAGGGAGGCTGATTCCCCACAGACCTCAACTTCCTCATATGTAAGAGGCACTAATGTCAGCCTGACTGCACTAGTGGGGTATTGGGAGGGGCTCATGAGACAACCGAGCGCTTTGCAAAGTTGGAACTTGGGGCACTTGGGAATCCACCATATGCCAGCTGTGTGTTTCTGGGCAGGTTGCTTAACCTCTCTGTTCTAAGTTTTCTCTTCTGGAAAATAAAGCCAATAATAGTTCTTACTCCAAGTAATTGTGAACATTCAATGAGCTATGTGGATAAAGTTCTTAGCACTGCACCAGGGACAGGTAGGTAATGAATGGTAGCTGTGAGTACAGATCATGGACAACACCTGGGCTTATGACGACCAAGGGTGGGAGTGGTGTAGGAACGGCGATCGCACAAAATGATGGCCTGAGAGGCCAGACCAGGGCCAAGGCAGAGGCTGCCACAGAAATGACTTTAGCCAGTCCAAGCAATGGCCTCCTCCCTTCTCCCTGCAGCTGGAGCAGGGAGGCAAGAAGCAGCAAAGAGCGACTTTGGGGCTTGGCTTGGGCTCTTGGAAGGCTTGTCCTCTGTCCAGGAGGACAGCTCAGAGCTCATTCCTCCCCACTCCTTGCCTCTCAGAGAAAGCCCAGCCTGGAGGCCTGGCCCAGCTGGTGGACAGGGGGTGGCTGACCTCGGATGCTGGGCAACTTGATCGGGGGGGGGCAGTTTGGAGCAGGCCAGGAGAAGCTAGCACTGTGGAGGCTTCTACCCCAGCAGCAGACATTCAGCAGCCACTGGAGACATTATGGGTGGTGATGACTGCTGGCATCTAGCAGGTGGATCCAGGGATACCGCTAAACCTCCTACAGCAACCAGGACAGCACCCTCCACCCCAAACAAAACTCTGCAGCCCCAAGTATTGATAGTGCAGATGCTGGGAAATCCTGTCCTATGGGACAGCACAGACATGTGGCCAAATGGTTAAATTAAATGTGGTAAGGCTATACCAGAAGCCAAGCTGTAGTATTTGGAGATGGGAAGAAATAACTAGACCAGAGAGATGCAAGAGAGCTCCCCATTTGCTGAGTGACGACATCCCTGCCTCATCTGCGCCTCACGTGAGCTCCTTGTAACTATTGGCTTGTCCGGACGCCTGCTGCTCATCCAGTGGCGGCTCCGTGATGCCATTTGTAGCCCCGGATCCAGCTGCGCCTAAAGTCAGACGCCCAGGTTATGCGGCACCTGTAGGCTTCTTTATTCCTTGCGCTGGTTTGAGTTGAGCTGGATCTGATATACAGCTAACATCAGGGTCACTCAGCACACTCACGACCTTGTGCAGACTTCCGTCTCGTCCTCTGATGGCCCGACGATGGCTCCCGACGGACAGCTGCCTCCTGTCCTCCTGCCGGGCTGGCGGCTTCCACTCCCGCAGCGTCAAGACATCCAAGCGCGAGGTGCGTGGCCCGCTTGCTTCACCAGCCCGACCACGGGAGCCACGGTCAGACGTGGCTGTGGAGCTGGCAGTTAATTAAAAGCTCCACGCACTTGGTGATTAACGATCAGAGTGGTGGCGGTGGGCACCGGCGTGGGACGCCTCTGCTGGAGGCTGCTCAGGAGCTCCAGGTGGCTGCCTTCCAGCGCCGCGCCCGCAGGAGGGGTGGCCCCAGGGCAGCGGCCAAGCGGCTTGCAGGGGGTTCCCAGCTGCCTGTCCTGTTTGAAGCTTCGGGGAGAGAGAGGGAAAGGGGACGCGGGTGGAGGGTGGACCTCGCGGCATCACAAGGGATGGGCAGGTGGGGCTGCTGGGATTTGGGAACGCTGAGCGGGGAGGCCTGATGGGACGTCAGCCATGGGGAGGGGGAAGGCAGGGCCTGAGATGACACAGCCCTCTTCGTTGCAGGGCA